CCTAGTTTTTTAACTAGGATGGGGTGAGAGACGGTGTCAAAGGCCTTGCTGAAGTCCAGAAAGACTACATCCACCGCGACACCTGCATCCATGGCCTTTGTGACCTGATCGTAAAAGGCAATCAGGTTGGTCTGACATGATCTCCCCCTAATAAATCCATGCTGATTGCCCCTGAGCATCATTTCTGATGCCGGCCCATCACAAATGTGCTCCTTGATGATCTTCTCAAAGAGAGACTGAAGAGCAAGCAGCCAGTCAAGCAAGGTTCCACTTTAGAGTATCTGGCCAGCAAAGAGGGCCCAAAGAATCAATTCCAAGCATCAAAAAGCAAACGATTTGGGTAGCGGCAGCGCAGAATTCCCACACTGACGTATCAACATGCCTCAGTCCTGTATAGGAGAAACTGTGGGATTCAGAGAGCAGTTTTCATCACGGCTTAATCAGTCCCTGGTGCCACCAATCAATTAAGCACTGGTTAGCAGACAGACACCGGTCTGTCTAGAAACTAGATATCCACCCATCAAATTAGTTCAATGCAGGTCAAACTGCCTAATGGAAAAGCACATTGGTCACCATTAGCCTATGTTTTGCTTGATATTTGTGATCAAGTGAAATCTGCATCTTTTTCCCTGACTCCCCTGAGCTGCTCAAACTCCCCTATCAGAAGTATAAAGAAAGGAAGAGGACTGAGGAGGCAAAATGGCAAAGGTATGGCTACTTGGCCTTTACCTTGGTGATAGTGCCCACAGCTTTGGTACGGCCCTCACGGAAGACCAGCCGCTGGTCTATATGCAAATATTCAGGGGTCTTGATGAAACGAAAGTGCACTGTGGCTTTGTCCCCTGTCCGTAGGCAGTCCTTGTCCATGCTGAGGATGGTGGCTGTCTGGCGGATGCTGCCACAATGCACTGCAAATATAATGCAGAGGGTTTCAAAGAGCCATTGCCACTAGTGGAACAAGCCTCAGATAAGGGTCCAAGGTAGCTAGTGCTACTCTACATAGAATGGAAGGAATCTGCTTCATCTGAAAAGTGAAAAATTGACAGAGTTGCATTTGTCTCATACTCACAAAAGAGCACAGGTATTGGCTGCAGCAGAGGACCTCAACTGTGTCCTACCAAGCTTTCTAGAGCCACATTATGGAACAGTAAGAATACGTTTGAACTGTGATCTGGTTTTGCCATGACAAAGCTTGTTCCCTGTAACAAACAGCCGGGGTGAGAGGGGGAGGGGAAAGGGAAGGAAAGGCTGGCAATGGAGTCCTATCAGACTGTCTTAGGCACCTATATGAAGATTACAGAGGCACTGACTTCAGGCAGGTACTGGGCAGGATAATCCCTTCCTAGGCATACTGTTTACTACTGGAAGCACCTCCTGCTTTTCTAGACCAGTTCACTCACCATAATGCAAGTGAAGAGAGGGAGGAATTTAATACAGGAAGCTGAACCCTATACTCTGGTAAGGCAGGCATCACAAGCAGATTAAACCACCTGAGGCAAAAACCTCAGGTAGGAGCTATGCCAGTTGGAAACAGAAGGCCGGAGAAAACTGCTATATACTCACCCATTGCCTGATAGCGTGGGCTGATAGTAGTGGGGTGATGCAGCACCAGAATCTCAGCTTCAAATTCCCAGGATGCTTGGGGGTTCAACCGGGGGGACACCATCACCATGCCTTTACGGATGGAGGAACGCTTGATCTGGGGGGAAAAGGATAAAACACAGTTAACCATGATTCTCTACTAAAGAAAGAAAATTATTTCTCCAGCGTCTTTCACCCAGAAGGTTTCCAAAGCATTTTAGAGGACATTAACTGGCACCCACTGTAATGCAATGCAGAGGCTGTTTAATGACCGTATTAAGTAGAGATTTGAGGCACTTCTGAGGGTGTTTGTAAGGAGGATGCAGTAATCAAAATTGGAATTTGGGGAAGGATGCTTGGTTTAATGCTTCTTGCCTTGCTAAAAGTGCATAGCATCCAAACAGACATTCCCTCCAGCATAGTGCAAGCTAACACTATATTAACAGTTTGTCTAAAGAATATTTTTACAGCTTTAATGATTACTGTTTGAAACCAGTGCAATTACTACCATGGATGCAGTTATACCAGTATAACTGTGTGCATGGCTGCAGTTGTACTAATTTGGCCTTTTTCCTTTTTAAAGGACACCCTCTGCCCCCAGGCCAAAATAGTTAAATTGATACAAAACACTCTGTAGACCTGGGACTTGGACGCACACTCAGTTCTAAGCAAGAGAATATAGATGTTAGAATCATAAAAGGTTAGGGTTGCAAGGGAAATCAGGTGGTCATCTATTCCAACCCCCTGTTCAAAGCAGGACCATCCCCAACTAGATCACCCCAGCCAAAGCATTGTCCAGCCAGATTTTGAAATCTCCACAGACAGAGCTTCTACCACCTCTCTGGGTAGCCTGTTCCAAAGTTTTACTACCCTCTTAGTGAAAAAATTCTTCCTAATATCTAACCTAAACTTTCCTTGCTGCAACTTAAGACCGTCGCTCCTTGTTCTGTCATCTGCCACCACTGAGAACAGTCTAGCTCCAGCCTCTTTTGAACCCCACTTCAGGTAGTTGAAGGCTGCTATTAAGTCTCCTCTCAGTCTCCTCTTCTCTAGACTAAATAAACCCTGGTCCCTGAGTCTTTCTTCATAAGACATGTGCCCCAGCCCCTCATCATTGTCGCCACTCTCCACTGGACTCTCCAATTTATCCACATCCTTTCTGTAGTGAGGGGGCCCAAACTGAACACAGTACTTCAGATGTGGCCTCACCAGTGCTGAATAGAGGAAAATAATCACTTGCCTTGACCTATTGGCAACACACCTACCAATGCAGCCCAGTATGCTGTTAGCCTTTTTGGCAACAAGGGCACACTGCTGGCTCATATTCAGCTTATCGTCCACTG